CATCAGACTTCTTATGCTTACACATCTTAATAGAATAGTGTTGCTGAACACAAGAACTATCATCTGTTAGATGTTACCCATGTACTATTATTCTAGATGAATGTTTCCTATTATTTTTGGAGTGATGTTCTTATTGCTTGTCACCTTATTAATCGTATGTCATCTTCTGTGTTAAATGAAAAAAATTCATAATCTGTCCTTTTTCCTAGTAAGTCTTATTTTCCTTCACTCCTAAAGTTTTTAGGTGTATTTGTTATGTTCACAACTTGAGCCATAGATTTAATAAACTTGACTCTCATTGCTATAACCCTCACCTTCATCTGTACTTCACTAGTGTGATGTCGTGAATCTATCCCGTATTTTTCGGCACTTGCTCAGCCTCAAAATCTAAACTTTGGGTCTTCCCTTACATCATTGTCTCTTCTCTTGTCTTCTCTTATTTTACCTTCCAATTGTCTACTATCCTTATTCCTAAGCACTTACAAGGAAAGTTGTCAAATCCGGGATGGACAAAAACTATGGAAGTAGAGATGAATGCCTTATATTATAATAAAAATTGGAATCTTATTCCTTTACCTCCTGGTAAACGGAAAGTTAGTTGTCGCTAGATGTACACTGTTAAATTTAATCCGAATGATTCTGTAGAGTGTCTCAAAACCCGTCTTGTTACTAAGCGCTTTACTCAAACCTATGGTGTTGATTATGAGGAGACTTTTTCTCCTGTTGTCAAAATCTTTTATATTCATGTATTAATTTCTTTAGTTGTTACTCTTGATTGACCCTTATTTCAGTTAGATGTTAAGAATGTTTTCTTCCATGGTGACTTGGTTGAAGAGGTCTACATGGAGCAGTCACCTAGGTTTACTGCTCAAAGGGAGTACTGTTAAGAGTATGTGTTGGTTAAAAAAATCTCTATATAGTTTGAAGCAATCATCGAGAGCATGGTTTAGTAAGTTTTCAGATGGAGTTTTAGAGTGTGGTCTTCTTTGATATCAGACAAATCACTCTGTGTTTCATAGACAGACGGATGTTGGATATATTCTATTAGTGGTCGATGTAAATGATATTGTAATTATTGAAAATGATTTTGAGGGAATTGTCAAGCTAAAAATCTTCCAACAGGACTAATTTCACACTAAAAACTTAGGAAAACTCAAATACTTCTTAGGTATCGTGGTTGCTAAATCTAAATAGGGTATTTATTTATCCTTGAGAAAATATGTATTTGACATGTTAAAAAAAATTAGTTTGATGGGTGGTAAACCAATTGATGTTCCTATATATTTGAATCAGAAATTGTTGATGGATGATAGTACACTATTTGAGAATCTGGGTCGATAGTACCATATTACAGGTTGGTTACGAAATTCAATTATCTCACTATGATCCGACCGAATATTTCCTATACAAATAGTGTAGTAAGTCAATTTATGACATGCCCTAAAGTACCACATTGGGAGGTAGTCACTCGTATTCTTCAAAAACTCAAATGTGCTCCTAGTCTTGGGTTGTTATATCGAGCTAATGGACACCTTAGAGTTGAGGGTTCTCAGATGTTGATTAGGCTGACTCTCCTTCTGATCAGAGATCAACCACCAGTTATTGTACTTTCTTGGCAGGTAATGTTGTCTCCTGAAAGAGTAGAAAACAAATAGTGATAGTAAGATCCAGTGGTGAGACTGAATATAGAACAATGACACATATAACTAGTGAGTTGACTTGGCTACAACACTTTCTCTAGAAAATTGGTTTTTCAGTTCAACCTCTTTACAGTTGTTCTGTGATAATCAGACAGCTATTCATAACACTGTCAATTCAATATTTCACAAGTGAACCAAACATTGAGGTTGATTGTCACTTTATTTGATACAAGATAATAACTGGAGATATTATAACTCTATTTGTGAACTCTAAGGATCAACTTACAGATATGTTTACCAAAGCATTGAGTTGTACTCGTCTTATAGTCATTTGTTCTAAACTTGGATTATATGATATATATATATAGTCCAGTTTAAGGGAAAGTGTTAAGAGTATTAAAATATTATTATGTAAATACTAATTGTAATAAGTATACCACATAAAGGGTATACTTGTCTTCTGTATGATTACGACATAACTATAAATACAAGATGTTTGTGAAAGGTAAGTTAAGTTTGAGCTTTTTGTTTGGGGCATTTAAATCAAGTAGATTGTTTGTGAGAGCCAATTCATGTGGTTTCCTTCAAGGCTTCAACGAGGAGGGTGAAAGGGTTTAATGCTTCAAATATCACACCTTTTCTTTGCACATTATATCATTATTTTTATTTGTGCGGCCAAGGAAGAGCAGCTGAGGTATCTTAGATGCATTTTGTTGTTCTTGAGGCAGTTTTGGGGCTCAGGGTGAATTCACGCAAGAGTGAGCTTATATAAGGAAGCAGGTAGAGAGGTTGAAAGTTTGATGGGTCTCTCGGATTGTAATATGAGTACACTGCCTTCTATATATTTAGACTCTCGCTAAGTTCCTCGTTTTAAACCGTGGGGGCACGACCTAGAATGCAGTACTGAAGAGATTTGAGAAGATGCTTGGGGTTTGGAAGATGAATATTTTTCAAGAGGGAGTAAATTAACTCTTGCTAAGATTACTTTTGCGAACTGACCTACCTAATTCCTACATCTCAGCCAACAAGGCTATAGAATCTTGAGAAAGATTTTCTTTGTCAAGAGAGCATTGAAGATAAAAAATATCATTGGTGAACTGGGATGTTGTGTGCTCCCTAGATAAGGGAGGGATCTTTTTGGGTGAAGAGACTGGGGCTGTAGATTAAACTTTGTTAGGGAAACACTGGTTCTGAATTGCGGTGGAAAGTGAATTAATGTGGAAAAAGGTGGTAGGGAATAAGAATATTAAGGGAGGATGAGTCTTTGAAAGGGTATAGTCCAGTGGGAGGAGGTCTCCCGACACACCAGAACTTTGGTTGGAAACCGCAGGAGGATCATGTTTTGGAAGGATATATGGAGCGATACTAGAGACCTTAAGCAGAGTTCCTGGAGTGCTTCATTGTCAGGGATAGGGATTTCTCAGTAAAAGAAGTGTTGTCAATTGCTGAAGATGGAAAGGAGTTGTTTTGGCTCCCTCTTTTGCTTGGGATCTCTTTGATTGGGAGATGGAGGCTATGTCATATACTTTTGTAACACTTACTCGTTGAGCTTAGGTAGGGGCGGGAGGATATGCTGCAGTGGAGAGAGGCAAAGAATGGTCTGATTTCTGTCAGATCATTTTAGGCATCGGATTGTCAAGGGTGATGTGGTCTTTTATCCTTGGAAAACATTTGGAGATCAAAGTCTCAGACGAGCGTTGCTTTTTTTCGTCTGGCAAGCTTCTTGGAATTCTACTCTAATGGGATAATTTGAGGAAGAGGAATATTATGCGTGTGAATTGGTGTCTTTGATTTAAAGGAACTGATGAGAGTGTTGGTCACCATTTGTTTCATTGGGCTAGGCAGTTATTAAACATGCGGCTCAATCTCTTTGGGGTGATTTGAGTGATGCCAAGATGTTTTAAACTGTTGCTGGAATACTTGTCTTGTACTTTACCAAAACAAGGAGAGGGTGTACAAAATATGTAAGACAACACCGCTGTTTGCAGGTGCATTTAAAGGGAAAGAAACTCAAATTTTGACAATGCACCTTCCTATCAGCAAGCTTTGAACTTTGATGCTCACTTCACTTCTTTTGTGGATTGTAGGGTCATACCCTAATTCTGTTGATTCTTTGTAAATGTTTGAAGTAAGATGCATCCAGTACAGCTAGACACTTAGAAGACTTCTTGTATTCCAGGGTTGTACCCTTTTTGGCACTTTTCCATAATAATTGTTACATGAAAACGGATGAAAACCAACAAGCATAAAAATCAGAACAATACCTTCAAATTTTTGACGGTGGTGTACACTTGTTGAATTCCATATGTAAATATGAAATACTCACAAGCTCGTTCATATGCATGCCAAGGTGGAAGCATACTTAGAAATCTATCCCCAGGTTCAGCAGGTACAATATCCCACAAGTTATTTATCTAGAGAGAAGATGGAAGCAAAACATCACAACAATAAGAAAATATACGTATTCCACAGTAATAATCAAGGGAGCTGAAATGCCTTGGGAAGCAACATAGAATAGTTACATGAAACAAACCTCCACATTACAGTTAAGCTACATGAAACCAAGAGACAAAATAAAATGGTGACAGAACGTTCTGAATAGCAATCCATTCCAAAAGATACAGTAACAACATTTACAAACAACTGCTAGCCCTTTAAGAAAATAGCAGACCTAAAGAAATTCAATTTATAAGGGGCAATTCATTTAAGAATCATAACTAAAGACCCTATCAAAATTTTTACATATTAGAACAGATTATTATGCAATATATAGATTGACTAAACAATCATCAGCTTTAAAATCCCCAAAAATGTGCACCAAAATAAGAATCCATCTCCATCATAGCATTCAAGTTAGCAAGTTACAAGTCAGTAAATGTTCCTCTCTGTGAGGGAAAGGGTACACCATTTGTTGTTCTCCTTTTCCCATTAAATCTCCTCCTACCCAGAAAAAAAAAAAAAAAAATCTTCCAAACAATCCAAGTTATACACTGTCCTCATCGGACATTCATCTATTCCAAATAACTATCATAAAATTAACATGCGTGTTTCTCTGTTTCCCTATTTACTTAAACCGTCCATCTCTCATTGAGGAGGCAACAATAATGCATTAAACAATTACTAGATTTGAATTCTTCGTACCCTAATGGGAGAAAGCAAAATGTAGGTATCCATATCTTTAACGAATTGGTTGACCCATTTACCCTCTACTGTTCATCCAACAATTTCACTGGCGGTATGAGGTCACAAACAACAGTCAAGTGCAAAAGTTAGTCAAGACTTTAGATTCATCTAGTTTGAGTCCATTTATACAACAGCTAGGCAAAAACAATTTTAGTGGCTCAAATACGCCCCTTCTGGTCACTCCTTCACCCCACTTCCCTTTCCTGGAAAAAGAGTTTATGACATATCCAACCAAAGCTTCACAAAACTATGTGGAAAATCTTAAAAATAACAAACTGTATACAATATTGGTGAGTAAAGTGGGATTCTAATGCAATCCCATTGTGGTTATGTTCCCAAAGAGAGAGGCAAAAGAATTAATCAATTACAATGGAGATTTCATTGAGATGCTTAATTGAAACATAGCCAGTGAGACTCAATATTTGCCTCAAGCCAAGTTTGCACACAAAAGCATATACCAGGATAATTGGAAAATCCCCATTTGGAATGATTCTTGCCCATTCCATACCTCCATTTTAGACTATTCCTCTATATGATCCTATGGGAGCATAATGCCGAAGGCAATAATATCGTCCAGCACTAAAAAGAGAATGAAAATAAAAAATACAAGACTTCATGATCTTAAATATTATCTCAATTACTTACAAAGAGGGAATTATTTGGAGGCATTTTAGAATAAAAAAAATCAAAAATGAAAGGGGCCATAGCATTAGTGGGAGAATACAACGATAAGTATTATTAACTTGTTCTCTCTAAGGAGTGCACGCTTCCTTAAATTAACTTTAATGATTACAAACCCCCCCCCCAAAAAAAATAAAAAAAATAAAAAATAAACCTTACAA